GGTGGGTCCCCCCCCCCCCCCCAAAGAGCCGTCCCCAGAGGCGTGCCTCAGTTTCCCCACTGGGGAAGGGTGGAAGGGAGGAGGTGGCCGTGGGGAGGACACGGTGGTGGCTTCTCTGCTGTCTGATACTGGGGTTGGGCTGGATCACGTCTCTCCCCAGAGCTGTTCCCAAGAGGTGTGCCTCAGTTTCCCCGCTGCCAAAGCGCGGGAGGGTGGGATGTGGCCGTGATGGTGGCTTCTCCACTGTCTGATACTGGGGTTCAGCTGGATCGCACCCCCCAAAAAGCCATACCCAACAGACGTGCCTCAGTTTCCCCATGGCCAAAGGGTGGGAGGTGGCTGCAGCGGTGGCTTCTCTGCTGTCTGATCCTGGGGTTGAGCTGGACCGCACCCCATCCCCAAAGAGCCATCCCCAGGGGCGTGCCTCAGTTTCCCCACTGCCAAGGGGTGGAAAGGGGGGAGGGGGGAAGTTGGCCACAGGGAGGACATGGTGGTGGCTTCTCCGCTGTCTGATATTGGGGTTCAGCTGGATCGCACCCCCCAAAGAGCCATACCCAACAGGCGTGCCTCAGTTTCCACACTGGGAAGGGGCACTCGAGGTTCCTGCGGTGCCAAGCCCAGCCCTGGGCACAGTCCGCTCAGGGCAAAGCCCTGCACCACCCATCGCCGGTGACGCAGGGTGCCGGGGCCAAATGCCTGGGGACAAGCCCTGAGGAGGAGGAGGAGGAGGGAGCTGGCTGGCAGCGGGGATGAAGGCAGGGCACCGTGGGGAGAGGCCGGAGCTCGCCCCCCACACCGGATGCACCGGCACCCACCCCCGGCCATGGGGGTGCTGGGGGTGCTGGTGCTGGTGCTGAGCTGCCAGGAGGCAGGTAGGATGTGGGGGGACATGGGGGTACAGCGGATTGGGGGGGGGGTCCAACCCCTGGGGACCGTGGCCACCCCCATGTCCCCCTCGTAGCCGCCTTCCTGGTGCATGTGGCCAGCTCCTGCCCGCTGGCGGCCAATGGCTCCGCGCTGGCCTTCGGCTTCACCCTCATCTTCAACAAGAACCCGCTGTGCAGCGTGCCGGCGCCAGGCTTGCCGCGTGCCGCGA